TCATTTAGGGAAGCCCAAGGAATTTATGCAATGAGTAAAATAGGAAGGAAACTCTGTGTGTTTGTGTGTGTGTGTGTGTGTATGTGTGTGTGTTGTGTGTGTTGTGTGTATGTATGTAGTTGTCTTACTTTTTTCTATTGCTGTGCTAAAACACCATGACCAAAGCTCTTTATAAAAAAAAAAAAAAGAAAAGAAAAGAATTTAATTTGGTTTATGGTTTCAAAAAGAATCCCTGATCCCAGAGAGAAGAAACACTGAGAGCTAGAGTCTTGGTCCACAGTCGCTAGGCAGTGGGCACACTGGGAATGGCACTAGTCTTTTTGGGACCTCAAATTCTGCCCCCAGTAACATAGCTCTTCCAACAAGTTCACACCTCCTCACTCTTCCCAGACAGGTCTACCAACAGGGGACCAAGTATGGCTCCTATGTGTGGAGCCAGGTGCGGTGATGCACACCTAATTGAAGTACTAGGGTGGCAGAAGCAGGAAGATGGAGAGTTTGAGGCCATGAGCCTTTGAGAGGCTATTTTTATTCAAACTACCGCCACAGTGATGGCAGATACGTGTGTCTGTGGGCCATCTCAACAGAACTAAGGTACAGAAATTTTTTTAAGGATTTCACATTTCAATTGGCTTTGTCAATGAGCCCTCCTCCCACCTAGTCCCCAGCATGACCACCTCCACAGTCCTTGAGTGGATGCTGTGTGCAGTGGTGACAGATGCTGTGTGCAGTGGTGACAGATGCTGTGTGCAGTGGTGACAGATGCTGTGTGCAGTGGTGACAGATGCTATGTGCAGTGATAGAGGATGCTATGTGCAGTGGTGACAGATGCTGTGTGCAGTGGTGACAGATGCTATGTGCAGTGATAATGGGTCCACCAGAGGCTGTGACCTCTTAGCAGCCTGACCATGAATCTGGTTCCTAAAGTCAAGTGGGACCTTGAAAAAGCTCTGTAACTGCCCTGCACATCAATCCTGTGACTGCGAATCCTGTCACTCACTCACCCATCACACACATTTTGAGCATCTCTTTCTATTCAAGAATCTTAGATTACTAAGCAGGATACACACAGTCCCTGCCTTCATGGACCTCTATGTCTTCAATAGGAGTAGAACACACCAGAAAGGCACAGTGCTAAGTGCACAGCTGTAAGGAAAACCTGTACTGTGATGATGGCATGCTGAGAGGGGCTGTCCCCACCCCAGGATTGGAGGTGGAGATTACGTCACCTAGATGGCATGGTCAAGCAGCAAGTGGCATAGCTTATACTGCTAGGAGACTTGGGGCAGAGAGCAAATCAGTAGGGTCAGGGATATGGCTCACTGATTGAGTGCTTGTTTAGCACATGTAAGGTCCTAGGTTCAATTCCCGAACAAAGAAGTGGGGGGGAGTGGCTATACTCAGTGTTCACCTAGGGCATGGAGTTGGGGCACAAACCTATGCTCAGATTCTCTGATGCCCTCACCTCCTCCACAAGCCCTGAAGACCTGAACTAGTTCCCAGAAGGGCCTTATCCTGAAGCAGAGTCTCTGCTGTACCAAGAGGCTGTGCTGGTTACTAAGGGCAGACATGATCTCCAGCAGAAAGGCGTCATAGGACTGCAGGTGAAAGAAGTTCAGTGCCAGCTGTGTGACACTAGAGACTGGCTACAGGCCAGCAGAAGCATGGAAACATAAGAACCCTCCGGCCACTCCCCACAGCCTCTCTTCTGGTCCCAGGGGTCCCAGGGGTCCCAGGGGTCCTTCGCTTATCAGTTGTCCTGACAACCACATTCTTCAATGCATTCCTTTGTGGGTGGCCTCAGGAAGACTGGGTAGGATAGTTTAGGTGGCCTGTGAGAGGACTCCAGAGCTTGGATGGAAATCTGCCCAACCAGTGCCTAGAGTTGGTTCTTGATTTTATTTTATTTTATTTTATTTTATTTTATTATTTTATTTTCAGAGCTGAAGACCGAACCCAGGGCCTTGCGCTTGGTAGGCAAGCACTGTACCACTGAGCTAAATCCCCAACCCCTGGTTCTTGACTTTAAATTCAGCTCCCCATTCAACCTCAGAACATAAGCAGGGAACCTAGAATTCACCTCAAAAGATTTATAAGACGTCAAAGCCCAATGGTTTAACTAGTATGAGAACTTTGTAGACTGGTCTGCTTAGACTGCTTTGAGCCTATTCTACTCTTGATATGGAGGTGTCAGGTAAGGCTAAGTCACTATAACAAAGACATCCATGACAAGCAGAAGGCTTATTTATGGTGAATGGTCACATAGCTCTCTAGTAGCAGTGAACTTCCCAGATAACTGCTCCACGTAGTTGCCCAGAGACCTCACCCCCACTCTCTTCACTTTGTCCCCATCCCTTCAGGCATTGTTCCCATCATGGTCTTGTCCTAAGTTGTAAGGAAGGGACAGAGTGGGCAAGAAGCTCCAAGGTGAGCTCTGGATAGTGGGATTGATATCAAAGGACAGTGTGCAGCCTCCAGCTAGGTGGGCATTGTAGCATTGCAATAAGTCCAGATGGATACCCTGGCCCTTAGTATGTGTTCATCATGGAGCACAGTACTTGCAGGTCATTACTCTGCAGCTAACGGCACAAGGCCAAGGGCTGGAGTGAGAACTCAGTGGCTGAGAGTACTTGCTGGGAAACTTAAGGACCTAAGTTTAGGTTCCCAGCACCCAGATCTTTAAAAATGGGGTGTGACCACACATATCTGTCATCTCAGCCCCGTGGGAGGGAAAGACAGGATCACTGGGGCTTGCTAACTGCCAGCCTAGCTCCAAGCCCCCGCCTCAAAGGAAAAAGGCAGAGAGTGGAAGAATGATGAAGAAGCCAGTGGCCTCCTCTGGCTTCCTCTGAACATGCATAGCATATGCACCTACACACATTTGTGCACATATGATATACACACTGTCCTGGTTAAGTATCTATTCCTATGATAAAACACCATGACTGAAAACAACTTAGAGAGGAAAGATTTACAGGTTACAGTCCATCATCAGGGCAAACCAAAGCAGAAACTCAACAATGGGGCTGAAGAAGAGGCCATGGAGGGGTGCTACTTACTGGCTTGTTCCCTATAGCATTCTCAGTCTGCTTTTCTACAGAACCCATGACTACCATCCCAGAGGCAGCACCATCCACAATGGGCTGGCCCTCCTGCAAGAGTCATTTAGAAAATCGCAGCACTCAGGAAGCAGAGGCAGGCAGATCTCTGAGAGTTCAAGGCTACCCTGTTCTACAGAGTGAGTTCCAGAACAGCCAGGGCTACATAATGAGACCTTGGGTTGGCTGCTCATGCCACCCAAGCAGCAGGGAACTCTTTGTAAACATTGTAAACTTTTTATACTTAGAAAACTTTGTAAACCCCTAAGGCAGGAAAGTGTCCAGGCCCTCATCTGAGGAACTCTAGCAGCCAGGCCCAACCCCCAGACCTCCCCAACTGTCACAATGGTGTTCCCAGTCTCTGTAACTGTCACAAAGGTCTTCTCCAGCCCCTTAACAGGACCCTCCCCAGATTATGCTAATTTTAGGTGAAAAAAATCTGAACAGGAAAACCTACCAATCCCTGGCCTCTCCCAAGCTCAGAACTTGAAATCCTACTAACCCTCATCCTGAGTACTCTGCTCTAGAAAGCCCCGCCCCCTTAGGAACCCTATATAAAGGCTGTGTCTGCTCAGTTCTCTGCTGTCCACTCCCTCCCAGGAGCAGAGGCAGCCACTCCTGGATTTGTTCCTCCACACCCTGGACCCTCCCAATAAATGTCTTTTAAGAGATTATTTGCTGCCTGGTAGAGCTCTCTCATCAGAAGAAGCCAAGAAGCAATGAAGAGAAGAAGGGAGGAGAAGGAGCGAGGCTGAGGGTCCTGAGCTCCTCAGCTGGGGAGATCCTCCCCTGGGAGCTGCAATGCCTCTGCTCCTCTCAGAGCTCTGTGGTTCCTGGGCCCTAGTATCTCAGGATGTCCTTCCATTGGGATGTCTTCTCTCTTCAGAGCTGTGTTGTTTCTGGGCTTCTGAGTCTCAGGACACCTTCCTATCCAATCAGGAAGGCCAACATCCTATTGCAAAGAAAGAGAGAGAGAGAGAGAGAGAGAGAGAGAGAGAGAGAGAGAGA